TGGTTGGTTGTTTGGCGAAAAAATATCACGCAGTATTTATCCAGTTCTATGGATTTCGCACGCTCGCCTTTGGAGGAAATTCATGGGGTGTGATTTTTTTGCGTCTAATTGAAACAACACACCAAAATTGAATTTTTTCCCAGGGCAAAAAGCCTCCGAGCACTCTTGTCGCCCGATTGAAATTATTGATCTCGCACTCGCTCACATGCACAATTGACTGGTGGCGAAGGCACCAGCATACAAAATTGACTGAACAAGTGGAAAATATAATTTAACCGCCCGCGCGCCCACATTCTTCAGATCCGCCAGAGAAAATTCCTAATTTCCTCCCCCACAAGCAGCGGCACGGGCTCAGGGGAGGAATCAGCGCCCATCAGGGTTTGGTGGGAAAAGTTGCCATCCACCTCATGAGCATTTGAACCGCCCAACTCACGATTACGCAGCGAAACAGAAAATAATTCACTTAGGCAAATAGCTACAATTTCTCTCCTTCTTCTTTTTTCCATCTTACCTCCATCGACAATGTTCATGGGAATGTTCCGGGAACTCATTGGATATAATTCCATTAGAAAGAATGCAATTTCTTCCATTGTTCTTCACAACAAAGTCATTTTAATTAAAAACTATAAGTTCGTTTGGAGCAAAAATAAAACCACTATAGTCAATTTATTAATATCGAAACCACTTTCGAGAGCTTATAAACTTTTTCGACAAAACCACATTTCGTCCGTCACGACCAATTAAGAAAAAACACACTCTAAACTCCACATTAAACTCTCCACGCTTCAATTCATCACATGAAATTCCTTTTCCTGTCTCTTTTCCTGTAAAGAAGAAGAAAAAAATCAATAAGATAAATGAAAAATAGAGGTAAAATGTGAAATAAATGTGAAAAAAACACGAAATAAGCAAAGATAGGTGAAAAATGTGTAAAAACTTAAGAATAGTTGTAATAAACACCCCTTCAAACACTGTGTTTTGCATATCCATGAAATGGAAATGCTGCAAAAAGTCTGTATTGATTTCAAGTGGAGCACAAAGGAAGGCAGAAGAGTTTGTGTCCAACTCATTCAGGATCTCTCATTTCACCCTCAAGAGTAATAAAAGAAAATCTCCACTGCATCGCAAAAAGGTGTTATTTTTAATTAAGTGCAAAAAAGTGTGTATAAATGGCTAAGAAAGGGAAGGATAGTGTGTTTAATTGAGTAAACAGTGTGAGCAAAAATGATGTTTTGAGAGAGGGGTAAAAAGGGGGTGAAGCTATAGAGCGAGAGAAAGAGAGGATAAGAATATAGAAAGCAATATATCTCGATGTTATCTCTATTGAAATATAGAGTAAATAAAAATTTAATAAATGTAAATAACACTTTTAGCAGAATATGTAAATAAATTTAAGGAAAATATAAACTATACAGGAATAACACTTCAGAAAGAAAGAAAGCACAAGTTGTTTGCCGAGGTGAGGCACATCCGACTAATTAAATTATTCACACCCTCCAGAGATAGGGAATCTCTCTATTCTCGAGAGGCGCAGATCTGCCCCTCAATTCGCAGCCACCACCACCCCTTCAAAAATCCCGAATTCCAAGGACAACACAGCCCATAGAATCCCTCAGCGGAACACCTCCAACCCCAAATTCAGCAACTAAAAATTATGAATACATAGCTTTAATGAGTGTCACAAGACCAAGGAGGAATTCTAATTTTAATTAATTTTTCCGCTGTACACTTGTCAGAGAGAAGAAGGAATATTAACACCCACTGCGGAACCCTTTTTCGAATAAATAGCATTAAAATCTCATGTTCTTTCTCCGTTCTTAAGCCATTTTTCTTATCACGCCGCACGAGCGCGCACACTGTGACTAATTTAGCCCGTGACTGGATAAAGAGAGGAAGAAAGTGAATGACAAAACAATAAGGTAAGTGCTCTAGCACAGTTCTATAGCAGAAATGCGACTAATCTTAGGCAGATGGAATACAAAATTATCCCGAATTAACCCGCAATATAGCGAAAATGTAAAGAGATAAAAGAATTTTTTTTATTTTCAACAATGCAATTATTTCATTCTTTTTCACTGGCTGCAGTTGAAAATAATTAATATTTGTTCAATAATATTCATTGTGATTAAATAAATTGCTGCCTATTTATTTTTGTGCACTCTTTGTTCTTTCAGTAACAGTTTTTTCGTGCACAATAAAATTCAATTCAGTCAAATTATTATTAAAAATGCGTCAAACATGATATAGAATTGCATAACAATAACATTGTTGACGGTTGATTGGTATTTTGGGAAAATTTATTTGGGAAAGTTTATCATCAAATTGTTCTTTATCTTAACGCTCTTTCAAAAACACGTAATTTCATTAGCGCAAATTCAAAGCGTCAAATTGGCAAATAAATGGAAACCATCAAATGCAAGAAATTGCCAAGACAATTGTTGAATTACCGCATGATCTCAAAGGAAATCCTCGTGGTGTTATTTCGAAATGGCAGAGATATTGCAGAGAGCAATTGCAAGACGCAATACTGACATTCCAGGGATGAAGTGCACAGGAGATTTCAAAGGAGACCATCTTAGAATTCTGCCCATACCACAAGATCCTGCGGGAACTGCTGGATACAATTGTCAAGACACCCTGGAGATATTGTCTTACCGACAAAAGGATTGGGCACAGTCATTTGCCTCTTCAGCCAGGGAGAGAATAGAAAGGATTACAACTCTGTGCTTCATTGTAACTCTCTATGAAGAAAACTTTCTTCACGCACTCCTTCGTCAGCAACACTCTAATGAATTAATTCTTTATCCCTAGCAAAGGTAAGTTTTAGTTCCTTTCGCATCACATTTTAGAGAGAAGCGTTTTCGGGATTAGAAAGAAAATGGAAAAGAAAGAGGAGATTTCATTTGAAGAATGTCCCAGTCGTAAAATAGCAAAATTCCAGACGTTTCATTCCTTGCAATGTGTCTCTTTGTTGCTCAATTTTGGGGCATTTTGACCGCCTCACCCCACTTTGATATCCGCAATATTTTAGAGCAATGGCCAAGATGAAAAGAGACACATGTGAAATTGGTAAATCCGAGACAAACCACCCACTCGACCCACTTCTTAATATGGAAAATGATATGACAGAATCACTTAAAGAGCTTTCGAGGGCTTTGGGGCTTTTCAGGTCATCTTTCGCCCCACGTCGGGTCCGTGGAATGCCATCAGAAGGACGTCGCAGTGCGAGTGGGCAGAGGTGGACAGAAAGGGACAATGTCAAATGACCATTTCCCCCTTCTTCCATGCCGCCACCCTGAGAATTATGAGCACAGAAGACACTTTCTACGAGTTACAACTTTTCAATAATCTTCACCCACAATCTCGGCTCGGGCGACAAAAACACACACACACCAAATCCACCCCCGAATGAGTGGAATTGGCAAAAAGATATTCAATTAGAACAACTCTCCTGAATGCTTTGCAGAGCAGAAAGAACAGCACTAGACGAAATAAATACAATCATCAAGCGGAATGGAGTGTTTTTGCCACATTTTTAATTAAAAAAAAACACACACACACAGAAACCACTAAAAGGACTGAAAGTGATGCTGAGGAAGATCCAGTCAAATAAACAGCGACATCAGAGTCTCTAATTCTTTGCCACAAGAGTGAATAAACTGAGCACAAAATGCGGGCAATGAATAGAATGGGATAAAATGAGACTTTAGGATTTTTTCACAGTTTTTGTACACTTTAATTAATTAATCTCTGAACCTGAAAGGTTAAGTAAGAAGAAGTCTTAATTTTACAGGTAATTTCGAGGAAATTATTGCATTTTAAATTTAATATGACACAAAAGAATGGATGCAACACAAAAAAGCACTTGGAAAAGCACTTTATCGGCTTATATTCATAATTTTTCCAGGTGATAAAGGTTGTTTTAGGCCTGTTTTTCTTCCCGCTGTTCCCACTTTTTTGGGGAAACTTCAAATATTTTACCGAATTCAGCACGTGAAAAGGTAAATAAACAACCACTCAGAATTTAAACTCACATTGCAGGTGTTATAAAATAACAGGTTTCACAGAGTTAAAAACTTTTGCCTTGTTTTTCAAATTCAATCAACACGTTCTGATGAATTTCTCGATGAAAAAAATTGAAAAATAATTTAGAATGGCACCGAAATGACAATATATTTGTTGAATACTGTACAATCACAATGAAAGTTGAAAAAGAGTTTAAGAAAAATTATATTTCTGTCATATTTTGCCAACATTCTTGCTTGTTTCTTCAGCTTTATTAAAATTCTATCCAGAAAGACTTTTTTTCATCTCATTTTCCTTCACTCATAAATTTCTTTCACAGAAAACATAATTTTTCCATGTTTTACTGATTTTGTATTCAATTCTGCAATCTTCGAAACTCCTTGCTTTGCCAATTCTAAGAATAACACCTGGCAAAACATTGTTATTTCCATTTATTCATCGAATTGATTCTCTGCATTTTCCTCAAGAATTCCAAGAAAATTCTCTCAATCAGAAAACAAATATTTGTTAGTTTTCCGCCTATTTAAAGCGTTTTAGATAAATTGTTCATCCTGGAATTTGCTTATCTCCTCGAAAGCCCCAATTTTTCACCGACAGAAGACGAAAATACTCGTCGTATTTCTTTCATCTCCAATCCAGGCGAAGATTAATTGGGATAAAATGAAATTGTAATTATTGGCTCCTGCTTTTCCATGAAAATCAATTTCCCGTGATGATTTTTCTAAAGTCCAGTTCTTCACACAAAAGGAGGCCCTCAAAAGGAGTCAATTTGGCCGATTAATCAATCTGTGAGGTCATTTTGGGCGGCTGATTGACCGTGTGCGCCAGTCATTTGTCCAGTTAATCAGTGGGCGGCCGTAAAGGGAAAATTACTGATCCAATTTAGTGATTTTCCGACGCATTTTCACCCTCCGGAAAAATGCCCCAATTCGATAATTTTTTTCACCACAGAAAATTAATGGGTTTAAAGGGGCTTTTAAAACAATCTTTGCTTCACTTTATTTAAGAAAATAAATTTAAATATTCTATTGAGTGGCGACTTGCTTCCCTTTCTCGGACTGAAGTCTCCTGAAGAGCACTGAAGATTCATCCGAGAGCTTCGTCTTCCCTTTCGATCCACACTTCCAGAGGAATCCTTGAGAATTCTGCCACAATCTTTGCTCACAATCTACGGAGAGTTTGTCCAGAAGACTTCCCATCATCTTGGGAATGATTGGCTGCAAGATAATCGCTGTGATGCGAAGAGCTTCCATTGTCAGACAGAGAATCGCCTCCAGTCGCTTCTTTTGCTCTTCTGTGCCTTTTTTCAGCTCCCACGGACGCATTGTCTCGAAGAAGTTGTTTCCAGAGTGAAGAGTAGTCATCACAGAATCCACCACCAGATGAAAACTGCCCTCTTGATAGTGAGAAAAGCATTTCTCAGGCAGAGCCTCAAGACACTCGATTAGTTTCTTCGTAGCGTCAATTTTTAGTAATTCTTCAAGTATTTCCGCATCAAATGCTGGCCAGATCTGCTGAGGATTCAAGGATTTAGCACAGCATCTGGACAAAAGATTCCCCAGAGTGTCTGCAAGTTCTGCATTTAGGTATCTGAAGATCTTCACATCACTGTAATCTAGAGAAAAAGAGTTCACTGTAGAATCAAGCATCTCTCCTTCAGGACTCTAAACTCACTTCCGTCGCTGTGCGCCACTCCTTCTCTCAGCAGGAAGTATCTCAGTCCCTCAGAAGTATACACAGAGGCTCTCTCCATGGGATCCACCACATTTCCTCTGCTCTTGGACATCTTCTGGTCATCCACAGTCCAGTGCGAGTGAACGAATAAACTCCTGGGCGGTTCCAGATCGTTTGCAATCAGAAATGCAGGCCAGTAGATTCCATGGAACTTCAGAATGTCCTTCCCAATCACCTGAACATCCGGCGGCCATTTACCCATCATCTCCGGATAACCAGAGCACGTCAAGTAGTTCACAAGAGCATCCAGCCACACGTAGATGGTTTGCGATGAGTCTCCGGGCACTGGAATTGCCCAGTGCACACGAGAAGAAGGTCTGGACACTGAAATATCCGGCAGATCATCTTCCAGACTGTCCAATAGGATCTTCTGGAACTTCCGGGGGCGCACAGAATCTTCCTTAGCAGCCCATCGCACGACTTCCTGCTGAAACAGTCCCAGTTTGAACATGTAATTCAGTTCTTCCGTCCACTCAGTCGGATGACCAGATTCCAGCGACACTTTCCCACCCTTTCCGTCCTCCTTCAGCTGACTCTCAGTGAGAAAGGTCTCGTCGGACACGCAATACCATCCTGAATAGTTTTTCGTGTAGATCCAATCCCTCTTCTTCAGTTCTAACCAGAATTTCTCCACTGCAGAAAAATGCCTCTTCTCGGAAGTTCTTATAAAATCCGTGTAGTTCACACCCATCTCGCCGAAAAGGCTTTTGTACCTTCCAGACACTGTCTTGCAGTACTCTTCCACCGGGATGGACTTCTGGGCAGCTGCTTGCTGAATCTTCGTGCCATGTTCATCCGTACCGGTGGTGAAGAGGTTCTCAGGATTCGGTCTCAGGAGGTTCTCAAAGCGAAATATCGCATCAGTGATCACGGCAGAGTAGAGATGACCAATGTGAGGAGCTGCAAGACAAACCAGTTGGTCAGGAAGTCTCATGATTGAGGTTAGAAAGTATTAGAACATATTTTACCGGCATTTACGTAGAAAATCGGCGTTGATACGAAGAAAGGCTTTGCAGAAGCTGAAGAGAATCTTCTCAAGATCATTCTGAGACAGATTGTGAGCTGAAAAACACTTGATTTTCACGGAAATACTATCAAAACACCATCACAGAAAACTCCTGGGAAAGCAATGAGACCAGCTGATTGCGCTTCATCCAGCTCTTCTCCATGTTTACATGTAGATGGCGCTCAGTCCAGAGAAGAGTTATTTTATAGGCGCTAAATTGACTTTTGAAACAGCAAACAGTTGAAGATGAAAAATATCAATTTCTTGAATGAAAATAAAAAGCACGACTTTTCCAATTGAATTTATTTATGAAAAAATCATATTTTCTTTGGCTTATTATGTACATAAAAGATATCTTAATAAGTAAGTGAAGTTCTTTCGAAATAAGTGCATTTGATGAGAAAATGAGCTAAAAACATCACTTGAACAATTTTGATTTATATCCACTCTTCTCCACAATATCTGGACTCTCATCTTCTCAAAAGTAATATATATATATACCCTAAATAAATCAGTCAGATAAGGATTTCCTCGCAATTGGAGGAAGAACTCAAATGTCATTGTAAAAAGAGGGCATATTTATCATATCGCTGGAAAACTCCCAAAAGCTGCACAATAATAATGCGTTCCATGTTTTCTTCTTGTTGTTGTTCGAGGACATTATATAGAAAAAAGCACCAAAAAACTGGCGTATAGTTTACAAATTGTGATCCTTAAAGTGTAATAATTTAAGACTTTCCATGTTGTGTCTCTTAAGGTAAACATCCAATTGATTAAAATGTCTAAATATTCAACACTTATAAAAGGCAGACATCTCTTCCACAAAAAAATATCATCTGCACTCACACAAGACTTTGTGCACTTTGTCCAAGATAGAGATAACAATACTATCACTTTTTGCCGCCGCCGCCTTCGAACTTCTGCTGCAGCGCCGCCACCGTCGAGGCCTTTCCCGGCGCCCGAGAAGCCGCCGCCGTGAGGATGCGACTCTTGGACGACGCCATCACCGGTCCCTGACCGTTGGGCAGCTGCGGATCCGTCGGCGACTTCATCTTGGCCGTCTTCGCCGTGGAATTGTGCCGGGGCTTTGCCACGATGTTGGGCTTCTGGGCGGTTTGGGGCTTCGTGGGACCATTATTGACCACATCCGGAGGCTTGGATTTGATCGGAGGCGGAGCATTGGACGGCACCACGTCCGGATTCTTCTTGGGCGATGGCGTTCTCGCCCGAACCGTCGGCGGCTTGGCGTCCTTGTCGTCCTTCTTCGCTCCACTGCGATAGGAGGCGGCGTAAGGTCCCGGCCGATTGATAGACGTGTGGTAAGGCTGATACTTGGGCTTCTTCTCCTCTTCCTTGCTCTCCTTGGCCTTCAGCTGCACCACGGCACTCTTTTCCGTCTGCACAGGATTCTTTTGCTCCGTCGGAGTCACAGCACTGGCCGGCGTCTGCGCCGGAGCCGGCGGAGAGCGAAAACTGCTGAATGGAACGGGCTTCTCGGGTGGCTTCGTGGGAGCAATTCTCGCAATGGGAGTGTTGATAGACGTCGGTCGAAGATATCCACTCGATGTGGTGCTGGAGTTGGACTTCATGTTCATGTACTCATCCTCAGACTCTTGCATCGTCGTGTTGGCGTACGTCTGATCGTCATCCTCGCCCGGCTTCTTCTTCCGCAGCGTCGACACCGAGTAGATCGAGTCCAGATTGCGATTCTCAATCTCATTGACAATCTCTCCCAGCAATCCCATGCTCTCCACACTCGTGGACAGACTCTGCACGCCCACTTTGGGAGGACTAGGAATCTTGGGCGGCGTCGGCGGCTCCTCAATCACCGAATAGATGTTATCCGGCGGAGTGACCGGCGTTGACTCCTCACTGATGTGCGCCAGCGGCGCCTCGCCATCCTCGCAATCCGCGTACTCAGGCGAGGACTCGGGCGGGGACACGACTTTCTTCGGCGGCGGCGGCTTCTGATACCCATTCACCACTGGCAGCGTGGGCGGAGCGGGCGGCCTGGGCGGCGGGGATTTGGGCCGGCTGCCGACGATGCTGGGCGGCCTGTTGAGCGGCGACGGCTGTCGCATGGAGCCAAATGACGGCTGGGGCGCCTTGCGTGTCGGCGACCTCATGCTCTGGGTGCGATTGAGGGTCTTGTTGGTCTCCGGAAGAGGGATGGGCGCAGAAATTTCGATTGTCTTCAGCCGCTCCCTGTCAATCACCCTGTGTTGCTTCTTCTCAACTGGTGGCTTCTCCTCCTTCTTCAGAAACGACGTGATTCTCTTCAGCGTCCCACCCTTCGGCTCGCGAGGGAGTGGCGCATCATAGCCGTCTGGCGTGTCGGCGGCAACAGGTTGCGATGGTGTCTGTGGCGCCGGGCGCACGGGAAACCGCCCAGATCCGGAGTTCTTCAGCGGCGACATCAGCTCCTTGGCCGTGCACGTTGACGCCTCGAGGATGGGACTGGAAATCAGTGGCCGCGGATGCGCTCCCGGATTCGGTGGCGGCAGAGCAGGAGCCGGTCTGTCTATCGAGACCGATCTGGTGAGTGTTGGCGACTTCACCGGAGACTTCACCTGTGTCTGACTCCTAGTCACTATAGCTACGTTGTTAGGCACCTTGGGAACGGGCGGAGCGACACGATTGGGCACGCCTGACTGCTCCTCCTCCTCCTCCACCTGCTTCGCCACAGGCGCTACGAAGGCCACATTGGGTGCCCCGAAATTGGTGGACGTGGCATTTGGTAAAGGCTTCAAGGTGAATCCCTTGAATTTCCCGAACATATTGTTATTGAGCAGCGAGGACTCTTGCTCCTGTCGACTGGATCTCAGCAGAGCCGAGTTCATGTCATCCGGACTGCTGGGCGTGGACTTGGGCTGTCCGCCGGACGACGGAGAGTGACTCTTCGACGGACTCTGCTTGATCAGTTGCTTAGGACTGCAAGAGAAGGGCAAATTGTTAGACATTCTGCAGAGATTCGCCATCAAGCTCGGATGATCGTGAGAGGTGAAGTTCACAGCAACCAATTAGAACATTGTTTAATAGATTTTCTTTCTTTTCAAGGTGAGTTAAGCGAAATGATCATGCGACAAAAACGAGAGTAATAATAATAATAAAACTAAAGATCTACATACCATGCTTAGTGCAAACTTAGGGTAAAACAGTGATCGTGACAAAACAACAAAATCCAACACCTCTTAGAGTGTAAATAAATAAAATGATCTATTGAGCAATGGTGAGACAGAAAGGCAACAAAGGTCACTTGAGACTATCTCTCGCGCACAAGCGATTGCACTTGGAGAGAAAGGCGCGATTAGTGCATGAAATCAGGGATGATCGTCTAATTTCCAGTCCTCTCATTGATCGTGCAGGCTTGAGATCTATTACGTACACTTGCGGCGTCCTCTTGATCATCGTGCGATTCTGCCGGAAATAGTATACGAGGAAGGCCACGAGGGCGCACAGTGGCACAATGCCCAGGAAGAAGATGTACATGGCAGTGGTGAAACCAGCTCCAGCTGCAAAAACACACACACACAATATCGTTAGAAAATCTCGCGCAGAAGAAACCCTAGAAGTGAATCTCACCGTTGGGATTCGATGCTGGACCACTGTCGACAGATCCGCCTGGTCCAGGAGCGTCACAGAAGGGCGGAGCGAAGCCTCTGTCGCAGTGGCAGTGGCCTTGACTGTTGCAAATCCCATTCCCATTGCAATCATCTGGACACGCCACTCCCGTTCCCTCCATTCGCAGACTCGCGATCGGGCGACACTTCTGCTTCACGCACATCTTATTGTCACCACACTTGGATCCGTCCGGCGCCAAGCCCGGATCCATCGATTGCAAGCCCAAATCCACGATTGCCGTGCGACACACCACGATTCTGTTCTCGTGATTCATGAAGCTGTGCGACAACACCGACACCGACTCCATTCCGAACTCCAGGCGCTCATTCAAGTGCCGACAGTGCAGCATTCCGCAGTAAATGTCCTCGCGATCGCAGTTGATGTATTGATTGGAGAAGCGCTCGAATCCACAATTTCCATGCCTCGTGCCGTCGATATTCTTGCTGTAGCACTCATCTGAGGAGTTGCCTGGAGGAGATCATAAATTCTCACTTAATTTCTCTCTCTCTCTCTCTCTAAATATTATTGTATAGAAAACAGCGGTTTGTCTTCCGGGAAATCTTTAACTTGAGCGCTTTTCGCGTTGAAATTCTTCGCAATGTTTACCTCTTACACTTCTTATCAGAGACAAATAGATAAACATTGGAGATTGCGAAAGTATTTACGAGTGTTGTGACACTTTTCCCTGTATTTACGAGTGTAAACAGACGTTTGGTAGAAGACAAAAAAAAACGATCTGGATGGTCTGTGTTTTAGATAACACTTAAATCCCGCAATCATCAATCTTTTTTTCAATGTATGCCCGGAGTTAAGTGTTCTTTAAGAATCCGTATGCAATCGAGATTTCTGGACGTGATTTTGGGATTTATGATCTTCATGGGAGTTCAATGAGCCGCAACGAGTGTATCTGACGTGCTTTAGTGGCCAGATAGTAATCTCTCACGTTCTAAATTAAAAAAGCACGCTAGCAATATTCATCTCATCGCCACACGATCGAAATTGATAAACCCCTGAGCGCTCCAATTAAATCATTCCCCAATCTCTCTGCGCAGTTGCGCTGAATTCCAATTGAATTCGCCACCTGCAGACCGCAAGAGAGCGCGAGTGGGCAATTAAGAGTGCGCGCGATATTTACCTGAGGGCCCCCAGAGCACCTTGCACTGATCCGCGCGCGATCTGCACGATCCTTGGTAGCAGAAGGCCTTGCCGCCGTCACACTCCTCCGTGTCGCGCTTGAAAACGTCGTTTGGACAGTACTCAGATTCCCCCGTGCAGAACTCGGGCAGATCGCACTCGCCATCTGCCGTCCGGCAGACGGTGCCGGCAGTGCGCGGCCGGCACGTGTCCAGGTCGCAGCACTCACCTGTCGCGCAGCTGGCGTTCGCGTGGAGCATGCAAGTGAGGGGATCGCAGCAGGAGTTCTCGCAGTACTCGGGCAGGCCGCAGTCGCACTGCTCGCCCTTCTCCACGAACCCATTGCCACATTGGGGGCTGTCGAAGAGCCGCGCGGGGCGGTTCTTCAGGCAGTGGTTCATGCCGTGGTGGAAGGCGAGATTCAGCTGGTCGATGCTGCACGAGCTCCAGTGTCGTGGCGCCACGGACGAACTGCTCGCCGACATGATGCAGCGCTCATCCTCGCACCGACAGTCCGCCGAGTCGTGCTCCATGCCGAAATTGTGGCCCATCTCGTGAGCCACCGTCGTCGCCACCACGCCAATTATCTGGCTGTGATCCATCGACACGCCGCCCGAGAATTCATACGTGCAGATCGGCCCCTTCAGCGCCTTTCCCACCACGCCACCCTCAAACTGCTCCCGCGTGAGCAGCTGGGCGTTGTCATTGGGGAACTTCTGCACCAGCACCTTCTTGCGATAGTACAGGAAGTTCTTAAGCGTCTTGTCGCCATCGCTCGTGAGCTCCACCTCATTAGTGTCCGTCCACACGACGACGCCGATTAAGGCAATAAAGATATTGAGTGGCATATAGAGTGCGTTGATGATGTTGGCGATCGTCTTGCAGTGGTTGTGCACCCTCTTCAGGCTCTGGCCCAGGGCATTGTACACCTTGTTGTCCACCACGAGCAGCAACTCCACGAAAGATGAGTCACGGTTGGCATTGTAGGGGCCACGAATTGTCTCGCTATCCTCCACGGCTCGCTTATACTGCAAGGAAATCATTGGCAAGAAGGCAAAGAGATAAGCATACACATTTATATCCCACTCACGACTCAGAGTTGAGATGCTTCGTGAGGAATAGAATTGCGATTCAAAATGAACTCAAGCTGATTTTGCTCATCTAAGATCAAAAGAGAAAATTGTCACACTGATCAACTCTAAGCATTCATCGCATTGTTCAAAATATGCTAGATTGACGAGAAATATCAGGAAAATATTCAATGAAATTAGCACATAATGATTTCCTCACCTATTTACTGAATCATTAAAACATCTTTTCTTTGTGAATTACAAATTCTATCCGGAAAAAAATGAAATAATCGATTTCTCCCCAAGAATCTTTCCTCATCGCATTGCTTGAATTTTTTGCAGACTAGTAAGAAGGAAAAAAAACAGAAAACAAAACTCCTGTTGTCCTTCTAATTGCTAATTACCCTGAAAATTGCCTCCGCTTTACCAATGCCAAATTGGGTGAGAGTGTCATGTAAATTGGATGGAAAATCAACCTGGGTGTTTTCCAGGGTGGAAAATCGATTCAATTAAAAGTGAAAATCGCTTACAAGAGTTTACTTTTTTCACCCACTCTCTTTCACTGTCTGACTTTTGTGGGACTTTGCAACAATTTGAATAACACGAAGCTAAAAAAAATCAATAAAAGAAACTCTACATTTTTATTGCGCGATTTTATCACGCCGGAACGCAGGGCTGAAAGAGGGAAGGGAGCGGTTGGGAAGTCTCAGGGTTAAAAACCTCTTCAAGTCACGCCACAATTCCTACATTTTCAAGATTCTCTCTATATATGAGGCTCAACTCACCCTTAAAATTCTATTAAATTCAGAGTGTTTCAGTTCATTTGTGCTGTTTTGACTCTCCTGCGTGCCTTCATAGCCACACTTGCCCACGCTCTGCCATTCGATATCGGAGTGGCTGAAATTGAGGAATGGACGTCACACAGTGAGGAAAAATGGAAATGAGGAAAATATTCAGGACGAGAGAATTTACCTGTAGAGAAAATGATCGGAATGCAATTGACTATTCGGCGTGGATTCCACATAGAATGTCTCCTCGCCATCGAATATCACACCTCTGATACCATCGCAGGTGGAAATGGCGGCTCTGGACTTCCTGTTGCCCCGTATCCTGCCCTGGTTTTTTTGAGGAAGAAAATCACACATGAAGGGAATTCGATATTTGTGCTCTCTGGCCAAAATAAGGGGTCAAAAGGGACGCCCTTTGTCACACAAGATGCGCGCACGCCCATCTTACCAGGTAATGACAGTGATCCATATCCTCTCGCCCCGTGAAATTCTGCACCCGATGACCTCCCAGGCCGTCCTGATAGTGCAGGAAGTGGCCCTGAGGCAGCAAATCCTCGTTCAGTTGCAAATCCAGCACCACACTCTCGCCACTCGCCTTCTCGAATGACAACGTGATGTGGGTCGCGTGGAGGCCATCCTGAAGGCAAGAGCAAGAGAAAAAAAGCATTTAATGGGCGAAAACTCTCCTTCTATTCCAACTTTTTCTCCCCCACTCGTCATGAGGCACTCCTAATATGACTTACAATGATGGGATTAGGGTTCAATTAATCTTCAAAATGCTGAAGATTATTCTTTTCACAAGAAATTCAATTATGTCCAAAGCAAATTATTGATTGTAGAATCAATGTTTAAGTCCTTCAAAGCATCCTTTGCCTGGCAAAAACTTCATGAAATTTTCATATCGTTCAATTTTTCAGCAACATCGCGTGAAGCCCAGAAAACTCCTCAACTGCAATATTGTTTAGCGACACCCACGCGTTGAGTGTCTATTTTGGTTTAAACATCGTTTAAGAAATGCCATCTTCAGCACAACACAAAAAAATTTGCCTCTCCTCAACAATTTTGCTGTTTGGGTGATGCTTAAAGTGCGCAAAAATGTTTAAAAAAAAAAGAAAAGAAATGAAATGAATTAAAATACAAACCTCCTCAAGTGTGGTGTTAATCGATCTCTTGTGGTGTCCATGAATCACTCGTGGTCTAATTAATGTGAATGAGGAAAATTGCTCCGCTGGATGGATTCGCTCATCTGCAAATACGACAGAGACAAAAGGCATCATTAATAGCGCGCGGACTTTCAATTTCAACCATCTGCATTTTAATGCGTTTTTTGACTCCCTCGCATGCAGTGCAGCGCCAGAGAGTCATCAATGAGACTGACCCATCGAGACTATCGAGAGTTTGAATTGTCTGTGGCAAGGTCGGTGTGTGGATCATAAATATACTTTTCTGACTGTGTGGCGCATTGAAAATCATCTTTGTGCGGTCTTTTTCGCGCGATAAAATGGGAGATCCCGAAAAACCTCTTCACTGTCTAGGCGACACTTCTTCAGAGACTATAAATAAGCTGTTTCAAGTGGATATTTTCACATATCACTTATGTTTCCTTCTACTCTGTCATCTTTTTTTTTTCTTCCTCCGCAACATAACACAATATTGCGCTGGCGGAGAGAGGCTCAGGAAAAAGGGACAAATGAGCACACAAACACTGGATGAAAACCGCGTTTTCTTCCACACAAAACACACACACACACAGACATAAATTAGTTTTCTGCCGTCGCTTTTTGGCGTCCGTGAATGGAGGAGAAAATTATTATTTTCTTGGTGCGAATTTTGCCGGGCGCGCGCGGAAAAACCATGCGAGAAACGTGACGGCGAAGTTCTTTTGAGGGTGGCAAAGGCAAGAAAAATTTGGCGTGATGCCACGTCTTGTGAATTTATCAGTGCTGCTCCAGCGTCCTCTTGGCCACAGAGTGAAATGAAAACAGGGCGCATTACAGCTAAGTCCTCCTTATTGAATTTTGTTGTATGAGGTCACGAACTATAGACTCAACACAGCTCACACACCCTGCACAGCATCTCAATGTCACCCCTTTTGCATCTCAGCAGCCACTTCCTCCGCACGCAGCCTCCTATTTATGTGATCGTCTCATTTCACATACAATATAAAAATGTTAAACACTCACAAGGGTTATCATCTCTGAACCACTTTTTCATCTCCCCAGCCACGATCACTAGCTTATTTCAATGTCTTCCAGAGCCTGTGGAGACCATCTGGAGTGTGTTTTGTCTTCAGCTGAATTATATTTACGCCACTGCATGTGATGATGTTCATTTCCAAATATGAAATATGCCTCATTTGTTGCCTTACTTCCTGTTTCACGTACTTTTTTCCGGACTCCTCGCCTTGCAGGGCCTCTGCAGTGTGCATATGTTTTCACTTTTGAGAGACACACTTGGCTCTGGGCTATAAATAGAGCCACAGAGGGAATATTATAACTTTACGGGATTTGATGTGTATTTAAGCGATCGTGCGCCCTTGCGATGCGTCGCGTCTACCTGAGCTAGACAACCTGGCCAACACCTTTTCCGACCATTCCTTTGAAAACACACTTTGAAGAATTCAATAGAGGCATCAAAAAGCATGATTGTTGCATGTAAAACGATGGTTTCGTCCACAAGAAGTGCTAATTCATGAGAATTGATTCATGCCAACGGGCAAAATTAGATGAAAAAATCTCTTAAAATTCGCAGTAAATTCAAGTGAATCATTTTCGCACATTTCCGCAAAGTATAATTTTGCCAAAGGTCTATTATTATCCATAATGTAGTCATCAGACCCAACGGAAATGGTTTGGCAAAGTGGAAAAGAAGTATAAATTCAATTTCTCCAACGTTGTCAAGAGCGCGTGTGAAATCAATTTGGACCATTTGGGCGTATAAATATTTTAAAGTAAACTCATTATTGATTTTCGTGACAAAAATTCCTCCGCCGCATCCGAAAGAACATCTGCCCCGGAGAGAGAGAAGCCCTCCAAGGCCCAAAAAGAGACAGACGACGACGGAGATGAAGAAGAAGTGGAGGAAGTTGGAAACGTGTTAAAATGCTGTGAAAACTGTGTGTGCAAATATCGAGAGCAGTTGGAGAAATACACTCTCTTGTGGACTTCTTCAGATGAATAACACACTCTTTCGTCGTCAGTTGGCGGGGAAGCAATTAAGGCTGTTTTCCAAGAAGTAGATCGCCTGTGTGTCACTGGCAGTTCAAATTGACGATGATTAGAGTGGATCAATTTCAATATCAAAAACCATATAACCACTCGAGCACGAAGACTCTCGAATTGCCACTTGCAACTTGTATTCTTTCTGATTTCTGTGTAAACATCCATTCTAATGATGGTTACATCTTCAAGTCTTTCTCTCTTTCTCTGTCTTCTTGGGGGGAATATTTGTGTGTGAGAAGTGTGGTGAAAATTCGTTAGCCGGCCGGGCGAGACCGTTGGAGCGGAGATTGGGTCATAATTGTTATTTATTGCTGAGAGACTGCAACAGTGTAATCGCTCGGAAATTAGTCACCGTGCCTTTTGTGACACGAGAGATTGCAAGAATGAACTGCAAGAACAGCTGCCGGCTGGAACCTAGATATTTACAGACTCGGAAATAATTATGCCACAGTCTTTGTGAATTTCTCAACGCCACAAATAAGATGTACTGTTAAGCCATGTGGCCAATTTACCTGTCGAAGGAAATTATCATTGATGCCCAAGAACAGGGGGAGAAACACGAGAAACCTTATAAGAAGAAAACTCCCGTCTTGGAACACTCTCTCAGTGTGATTTTCTAGTATCACGCTCTTAAATTATTATATTCCTCTCTGTGACTTTCTTGGAACTTTCTCGCGATAGCAGCTGAACTGAGAAACACGAGACTTTTTCCCCGCACTGATAAAACTTCCGAATCGCGCTTTTGGGCTCCACGAAGGCCACTTCCTCACACCCAAAACACACAAAACACACACACAATCGACAATATTCCACAGATGTGGCCCAAAGCGAGCCATGAAATTTGTGTAAATTTCACCCCCCGCCAAATATTGCACATGACGTGGAAGTCAATTATTTATATCCTATCGATTTCACAAAAAGAATTCCTCTTTTTCTGCTAGGCGGAAAAACAAGGGCAAAAGTTTCCTCTTCAGCCAGTGTTTATAGACATTTCGGATCCCTTTTTGGCGCCACACTTTTAGCTCATGCTTTCTGGCTCCTGGCCAACTTAATGTGCAATGACCGCTTTATCTTCAAGAATTGAGTCGCTAAATTGAGCAGGAATTTCTGCATCTTATGTTGAAACATTTGAACATGCAGACAAAAATGCAGCAGAAGTCAAACAAGCGGAGTTGAATTTTGGAATATCCCCGTGCAACGTTTATTTTATCAAACTTTACGTGGAAATTGATTTTCTCCTCTTGCACCGGGGAAGTTTATTATTATCGCTCGTGCCCTGCATCGATTATTGCCCTCGATTCCGCGCGCGAACCCAGTATTCATTAGATAGGCGAACATCAATCAATTTCCACTATCGCTTCCTCGCAAGCATTATCAGTTGTGTTCCACTTTTTCACGCGCATTTGGGATCGAGATAGTATTTTGGGGGATTGTCTTCGGCTCAGCTCCGCGCATTGTTTTATTTGGGAGCCATAAAATGACTGGAATTCCAAACAATTCCCATTCGGGACCTCCTTCCAAATCAGTCGCTGTGGAATCTGAGACGAAAAAGTGCTGCATTGGACAAAGGCGCGGGTTGAATGTCTGCAATTTTCCTCAACATATTCATGGAGAGGGTCCAGAATTGTTGACCCCGCGTGTGCACACGGCTTCAAGTGGATTCCCCGCAGAAGCCCGAAAAAAGGGAGCTGGGAAGAAAATGCGTCTGTGTCTCCATTGCGGGCGTTACAACAAAAGGTCTTTGTTCGCCCAAGAAGCTCATTAGACGGTCTCTCTTTCTAAGACGAGGCCCAGAACGTGGTGTGCTTTTCAATTAAAGTCAAATCAGTAGTTGAACTCTGTTTTGTGTAAAATGCTGGCATTTTTTTATCTTCACCGTGCCTCTGACTTCTTTTTTTTCCTGCCTTCCCAAAGCACCACAAAGACCTCCCAACGGATGCAGAATGACACGATATAAATATGGATAAAGTGTGTTGTGCATTGAGTTGGGTGAAATGCGTGAATGTTCAATTTCTCATGCATTTCTCTCTTCACTCTGGCCGTTTTTTTTATGGGCGCGCAATGGAGAATTTTTGTTTGTATTTCGGAGGATGTTTGCACCATCTGCTTCAATTCCTGGTCAATGATCGCAATCAAGCTGAGCTCAGAGCCGGAGAATTAAGGGCGAGAACATTAAGCGCCCAATAATGCATCCAAAGCATCGTTAAACTGCTAATTGAACACACTCCCTCATTATCTCTCGGCTTCGCCTCTTCTTCCCCCCTCTGGCCATTCGCCACGGTTTCTCATCTTCACACGTTGTCTTCTCATATCGGAGGGATGACCGCAAACGCCGAATGGTAGAAAGTCTGCGCGCTGCAAGCGATATCAAGAGTCTCTTTTTGCCGGACTCACTTTTTTCATGTCTTTTTCGCCACAGCCAAGGAATCAAAAGTCACGTTCTCTCTGTGGCTCTGAGACATTCATGGAATTTCAAGGTGGAAGAAAACTTTGTACACTTTATGTAGGTTTCTTGTGCGTGCACAAACAATGCCTCCATGTCAACCCAGAAAAGGAAGTCAATGCAATTTGCTCAAGAAGTCTCTGCTCAAGCAGCAACAAAGCGACTTCTGCAAGAAGTTGCGATGCTGCTGTTTTCATTATACCGCAGACTTGTTTGCCAGTGGCAAAGCCTAGAAAGATGACTTGTTCACTCATCAATTAATTTCAATTTCCTCTCAACCACTCATTATATTGGTAAGAATAATCATCACAATCGAACGGAAACCGCACCCCAGCAAAACACCATAAATATATGGAGCTATTCTGGAGATTCTCAGTGAAATCTCTCTTCTGCATCGAGCCTTAATGGGAAAAGTCATAAATATCTAGTTACTGTATTGTATGATTTTTAAATTACCAATTTAATCGTACACTCCAATCTAAAGTACTTTATCACTCATTAAGCGCCAGAGGGCCGGAACTTTTTTATGCGAGAAAGAGAAAGTTTCTTTACGTATGCTTCAGAGCACAAAGTGAAAAAAGA